TGTATTATTTTTATGAAATTAAATAAATAAGATTATTAATATAACTGTACGAAATCAGTTATATTATGATATTAAATGAGATAAAATATTAGATATATGATAAGATTATAGATAGAATTATAGAGGATAAATTATACCTAGATGTAGGAAAAAAATAATCCCAAGAGACCCACATCCTTTTCACTCAATTTTTTCCAAATAAGTTTAGAGCTCAGACTTATCAATCCAAATTTTTTTAGGTGAGTGATTGTGTTGTGAAAATTAAATTCGTGTAGTATGGAGTTTATATATAAAATAAATTTGAATCATACGATGATAATTTTAAGTAATTTATGGATTGATAAGTCTGAAATCGTAGTATTACGGATCTTTTCCTCTCGATCTTGCAATCACATACGGAACAACATTTTTCATCCCTTTTCAATTCCACCATTACGGAGGCAAAGTTTGATTGCAAAATTATTTTTTATCAAATTAGATACAATGAGATTATTAATAGAATTGTAAGGAATAAAATTATATTGTGGAAGATTAGATGAAATCAAGGATTTGATATATGATAGGATTTTTGTTTTGTTTTGGAGGGGGGGGGGGTATGATTATACAAAGGCATAATAAATGAGATAAATGATTAGATAGAATAAATAAGGTATTATATTTGGTTACAATGAAATAAAAAGATATAATTATATGATGAAAAAAATATATTTGGAGAGTCCTCATTCTTCTAATACCACACTAATTATGTTGTTATTTAATTCTCTATTTAATCCCATACCAATATTAAAATTATACGGAATTTAGTACCATGCACACTGGATTGAATTATCTGGTGAGATTCATATGTTCTTCATTTTGTAATCTCTTCTTCCTTAACCCACCATCAAATACCGGATTATGGCCCCGTTTGGTAAAATTGTTAAAATAGATAATAAATTGTGACTTTAATCAGAAGCTGTTAATTTGTTTGGTATAACAGTTAAATTATAGATTTAAGTTGTTAAGTAGTGCTTATTAAATAAGTTGTGAAGTAATTTTTTCCATTAAATTTTTTTTTTTGTTATTCACTGCTTATCTACATTTCTCATAAAAAATAATAATAATAATTTATAGTCCATTTGGATCTTTTTCTATTTTTTAAAAAATAAAAAATAAAAAAATATAAAAGTATAACCGTAAATTAGCATGTCTACAGCAGAAATTGATAATTAAAAACAAGGGGTGAGTAACTTCTCAAAATCAATTTTTTTGAGTTAAAATAAGTTATTAGAATTAGAAACTGTTTAAAATAAGTTTAATCAAACAGTCTAAAATAACTTTTTAAAAATTAAAAATTATAAGTTAATTTAAAAAAATCCAAACAAACACCTTTTATATCAGATTGATAATTCAGTGGGCTCTAGGTACCCTTGGAATATTACTTTATCCCATTCACTTTGTGTGACACATGTTGACTTGTTTCTCAAAGTCAACATAAAAGTGGTAGTTTTCACCAATTTAATCAAAATAGAATATAAATTAAGGCACCAACCACATGAATTTTGTCCCGAGATCATATTCTATAATTTTCAAAGAGGCACGCACGAGTTTGATATCAAATTCAGTTTTGTTCCTTTTTTTTTTTTTAATTAAAATTTTAATTTGGTGAATAAAAAAATAATTTGTGTGTTTATTTTCTTTTAAGCTAGCTTTTATTTTCTGGAATTGAAAAACAAGCAGGGTAATTATACTTTTTGTAACCAAATGAACTTAGCCATGTCAAAGACTAAAGGCCTCGTTTGTTTGGAGTTATAGGGAGGGGGGATTGGGATTGATAGTGAGATGAAACTACTATATGGGGTGTTTGTTTTAAGAGATGGAGAGGGGACTATTAATCTCTTGGTATTAGTAAAGGCCTTGGAAGGGGGATTGGTAAGGAGGAGATGGAGATGGTATTAAAAAAATAGTGTGGGGATTAAAAAAAAATTTATTTTTTTTTATTTTTTATATATTGGGAATTTTTTTAAAATATTAATGTTTAATTTTTTATATTTTTTTATTTATTTTATTATTTTATATAAAAATAATTTAACAAATCCTCACTATTAATCCCTTCCATCCTATCTCTGAAAATAAACGGGGTATTAATCTCTTGGTATTAGTAAAGGCCTTAGAAGGGGGATTGATAAGGAGGAGATAGAGATGGTATTAAAAAAATAGTGTGGGGATTAAAAAAAATTTTATTTTTTTAATTTTTTATATATTGGGAATTTTTTTTAAATATTAACGTTTAATTTTTTATATTTTTTTTATTTGTTTTATTATTTTATATAAAAATAATTTAACAAAAATGTTTAATTTTTTATATTTTTTTATTTATTTTATTATTTTATATAAAAATAATTTAACAAATCCTCACTATTAATCCCTTCCATCCTATCTCTGAAAACAAATGGGGCAAAGAGTTTAATGTAGTAGATGAGATACGCTTATTATTAAGGTTGATGTCTTCAAATGTTACTTCTGTGTTATTTCTCCATTCCCCTATTTCCTACTATTGATTGTCTAAAAAAAAAGAAAATGCTTAAATCTTTTATTTGAATTCACTGTTTAAGTACAATTTAAAATAGTAAATTCTAAAGTAAAAATTAATATTATTTATTCACTCATTAAGTAGGTGAATTAGTTTTGCGATAATGATTTTCTGTAAGTGAATATGGCAATTGTTAACAAGTGTAATATTGAAAATGTGATAAACAAAAAAGTGTTTTGATAAAATAAAATAAAAAAATTAAGGCCTTGTTTGATAACAGGTTATTTTAGTAATTTTTTGATATTTTGGTTAAAATATGAGGTAAAAAAAATAGTATGTTTGAAATAATTTTTTAATTTTTTACGAAAAGATATACAAAAAGTAAAAAGAGAAAATCTTTGATTTTTTAATATAAATTATTAGTTTTTAAATTTTTTTATAAATTCTTTTACTTTTAAACTAAAATAGTGAGTTGTCAAACCAGCCCAAATGTTGAATTTAATACTTGAGGGTCCGTTTGGGAAGAGCTAAAGTGGTTTTTTTTAGTTATTTTAGTCACAAAAGACAAAATATGCTATTAGTCACAAAAAATAAAACATCACATCTAACTTATAATCATTACACTCTTTTCTCACAAAAAAAAGTCAAAAATCAAAAAATCATTTCCAAACTAAACTTTTTAACTCAAATTAAAAAAATCAAAAAGTTTAAAAATCAACCTACTGCCCAAATCAACCCTGAGTGTTTCGGGATCGATTCATGTTTTATCTTTTTCTTGTACTGGATACACTAGTTAGAAAGAACCATTGATCATTATCCACGTGATTGGTTGGTAAACAAAATAGTTCTAGGTTGTGTGTACTTTATAATGATTTCATTTAATATTCAAATAAACACTTCTGTTTTTTTAGATCAAGTTTGACATAACTTAAATAATACAAAAAGTCAAAAAATTACTATCTTATTTAAGTCACATCATCTTATTTAAATCATATAACTTCTTTAATACATCACATGAAATCCAACCCAAACTCAATCCATATAAGTCAATAAGTGTACTTTTTAAAAATAACTTAAACCAACCCTTAATCACATGATTTGTTCATATTCATAGTAATTTAGTAGGTTTTACTATTAGGGGTTGTTTGAAATGATCTAAATAAGTGTATTTTTTGATTTTTTATAAAATATGGGTTGGGTTTGAAGTGATGTGGTAGAGAGGTGATGTGCTTTAAATAAGATGATGTGACTTAAATAAGATAGTAACTTTTTAACTTTTTTGTGTTATGTCAAACTTAGCTTTAATTACAAATTTAATTTTTGCAGGTCACATTTATGAATAAAAATTATAATTGTGTTAGCTTATAATACTATTATTTTTAAACTAATAATACTATATTCAAGTAGACAACATATGGTGGGTAAGCATAAAAATAACTGAATGAGAATTGGAAGAGCCAAAACCCGTGCCAGTACGTCTCTCCTTGGATTTGTAAGAAGTTAAAAATGCCATCAGAATGACTCCTAAGAAGGTATATACTTAATTATTTAGCAATGTTGGAATATCATGTGACATTTATGTAACAAAAAATTTTACAGGTAGATATGTTGATTTATTTTAATGAGGTAGAGACAAACAATAGTCCAACTAAAATGCACTACAATGTCTTATTTGGTGGTCTTATATGCACAAATTAGTGTACACACTAATGTATCAACTACTGTTATGATATCATTAATGACTCTATTTATTATACAAATTACAAATATCTAAAACTTTTAAAATTATGCTACATCATCTGTTGACATATTAGTGTGTACATTAATTAATGCATATAGCATTATTCTTGCACCAAGGATCCTCTAGAGTGAAATTTCCCTAAAGTTTCCTAGAGTGCTATATTGTGTGGTTGAAATCACTCTAGAGGATCCTTGCTCTTATTCTTGCATATTGGTTGTGTACCACGTAAATAATGCCGTGTAATACTCAGAGTATCTAATTTTTATTTCTTTTTTGGATCGATAATTTATCTTTATTAAGTTCATTATTGTTGATACATTTTAGGCACCATAAGCTTGGAAAAAGTTTTACATAAACAAAATTTCATTTGATTTGCTATTATTAGACTTAAAAATAAATTTTATGTTTATTTATTAATATAAATCACATTATGCTTGTGGAGTTATAATTAGCACTTTGTAGGTTGTATCATTACAAGAGATGATAATCAAATATAGAATTTAAACATTACGACTGATATTATATATAGCTTATCTATTGTTTTTTTTTTAATTTTTGAAGCACTTACTATTCATTAAACACCCAATTAATATAAAATTCTCAAAAGAAACTACAGATTTCACATTCTAGTTAATAATATTGTATTTTTTTTCTTATCGCATGTGTAGTCTCTTTGGAGTTCAAATATTAAAACTCTCTCTCATTATTATTTCGTCAACTTAAATTTTAAACTTGTGACATTTTCAGGTATGTTCAACATGGCGGGCTGTGTCGCGGTCCGACCTCCTCTGGCAGAACCTCACCCGCCGTATCTGGAACCGGCACCACCGTCTCCTCCACCACCTCACGTGGCGGGATGAATTCATCTTCCGCCACCGCACCGCCCTCAACTTCACCCACGCTCGCTACATTTACTCCACTCTCCACTTCAACCCGGCCATCGACCACATCAACAACAATGACGACGGTCTCTCCTGCCGCCGCCTCGCTCTCTCCGACCGCTACCTTGCGGCCGGGTACTCTGATGGGTCCGTGCGCATCTTCCACCTCCCATTTGGGCTCCACCTCTTCACTTTCTTCCCTCTCCAGCGCGACCGCCTCGGCCAATTCTCACCTGCGGTGTCTGGGATTATTCTATCTGATACGCACATCATATTTGCGTCGCTTGATGGAGATATTCATGTTTCACTCACCAACAATGCTGTTCCGACCAGGAGGAGCCATTTGGGTGATGTTGTGAACGATGGAGCTTTGGTTGACTTCACCGGCTGTAATCGGTGGTGGGTCGGCCTTTATGCAGGTGGGTGAACCTATCTCCATAGATTGTTTCTGTAATTTTTAGATTTCTAATGGAATAATAAATAAATAATTTTAATTGCATAATAAATAATTTTTTATTTTAATTAACAAGTTTGATAATTTTATTGTTATTTAAGAGAATAGTTTAAAAAAATTAATTTCTTTTGTTAATTCTGTTAAGTAAATTTTTTTGACAAAAAAGAATATTTGTAAATTTAGAATTACAAGGACAATTTATATTTTCAACAAACCACGTAGAATGTATTTGTAATTTATCATAAAATTTTAAATAGAGAAAATTTCATTTTATTCCTAAATTAATTAAATTTACATTCGAAACATTTGAAATGAAATTTGCCAATTTGACCTCCAAACTCGAAAAGTAAAATGCTTTCATTCATAAATACATTTACTCTAGCTTGCCACAAGTATTAAGATCCTTTTCTAAGGTTCGAAATTGAAATTAGTATTGTGTTTCACTTATAGGTTATTGTACAAAAGTTATAATTTTGTCAAATTAATTTATAATATTTTTAAATTAATATAATTTAATTAAAATTACAATGACGTGTCACATTGTGCAGGTGTCCCAGGGCGTGCCTTTCACGTGTGGAATGGCGACACAGAAGAGCTCGTTTTCGTCGGGGGTTCACTGACCGACCCAGAAGCCGTAATGGGTTGGCACTTACTCACCGAGTTGACCGGGTTCGTCGGCCGAGTCCGACTCACGAGTCACGAATCGGCCGTGGCCTCCACGAGTCTCCGAGTCATCGTCTTCGATCTCAGAACCCAAGTCATCGTCTTGGGCGAGGAATTCCGCCGAGGAATCATCGTCGGCACCGTTGACGCCAACGACGAGGCGCTCTTTATCGTCGACAACCGCGGCTCCGCTAGCGTGCGCAGGGTGGACACGTTAGACGAGGTGTGTAGGTTTAGGGTGAGGGGTGTTTCGACGGCGCAGGGGGGTCTGTTGGGGTGCATGAACTTGGGGTACGCGCTAATATGCGCCGGGGGTGTGATTAGTGTGTGGGAGGTAGACCGTGGTGCGCATTTGTATAATCTTGGAGAGAGAATTGGGGAGACTAGTGCCATGGTTGCTGATGATAGATACGTGGCAGCCTCTACGAGTGACACGACTATACACCTTTGGGACTTTGGAGCTCAATAGCCATAGCTATATACACAGAATTCGGGCATAAAAATATATTTAGAGGAATTATTGTATGGTTTAGATTCATTTTAAGTGTGATCTAAGGTCATACGGTATTTCTCTAAATTTGTATTTGATTCATGAATTTAGATGGAGATCTAAAAAGAAAAATTAATGAAATATGAATGAAATATAATTAATATTTCACATAATTTTTATATACTTTTTTAAAATCTCCATCTAAATTTATAAATCAAATATAACATAAATATTTTTCTGTCCACGAATTTTAGAGATAGGATGAAAAAGCTGATTTGGGTTGGGAGTATATGTGAAGGAAGGAGGGACATAATGGTACAAGTAGGACAAAAGTACCCTTTTTTGTTGGTTTGTTTTTTGGGGGGCTGTGGGTACAGCAGTAGTTTGACAAAAAGCTCAGAAGAAGTGTACTTTCTATGACACATATATACTAACTTAGGTGAGATGTTGATTGGTAGATTGTTGACCTTGACCCAAGTGGACCCAAAAAAAGTTTTTTTGTTTTTTCTTTCGAATATTTTTTCAGTCTGTTGTGGGATTTGTCTGTTGTTTGACTGGGAAGTTAGTTTTTAGTTTTAGAATTTGTGGTCTTGGAGCTGTAATTGAGGGGGGTGTTGTAACTTGTCATGGTTGATTAATTAGTACTTCAGTTTATTCACTCAGCCTGTATTCTTTCTTTTTAGTGAAAAAAGAATGCAAAAGACCTGTAATTTTTTGAACTTTTTGTAGTAATAGTGTAGTAGTTTAATTTGATTAGCCTATGGCTTTGCAACATTGGTGATATTGATGGTTTTTGCATGGATTTAGACATCGGTGGGATGGCGTTCTATTTTATGTTTTTAATTTAGTTTCTTTGTAATTGCTTTAACAGTCATGATACATTCTTCTAAAAAGAGGGTTGAAAATTCCAAAAAAAAGACAGACATAGCCATCTCATGATGAGTGTAGCGAGCTCATTAGAGCTTCTCTTAAAACTCTATATTTATGCTGCGTTTGGTTAGAGGATTTGGAGAGGGATTTGAAAAGAAAAAGAAAAAAGATATATGAAATTATGTAAAATATAGGTATATTTTATTCACATTTCATCTATTTTTTTCATTTCTCTTTCCAAATCCCTTTTCAAATTTCTCAACTAAACACAACATTAGAGTTTCTAAGCATTTTTGTTGCTTTTATTCGAAAGACCTGAACAAGAGGTACATTGTTGTATGAAAGATAGTCAGACTACACAAGGTTCTTGCTACTGAAAAGTCTGAAAGGATCAAATATGCCCAAACAAAATTAATTTTTCAACTCAAAGAAATGGTCGAATCCTATGTTCTCAAGTTGGCACCATATTTCTATACCTTATTGCATCTCTCTCTCCAAATCAATTTACAGCTGCACTACCTATAGGACAATAAGCCTAAAACTCATCCCAAGTGATACAAATCTTAGCCAACTTGAAAGAATTCAAAGGGCAGTCAAATTCACGAGATATAGAGGGCTGATCATTTGGAGTCATCAATCTCAATTCATTGTACAACAAACAACCCTAATAACATCATTTTACCAATGAAGAGTCACAGTACAATATTGTGTGACCAACATTAGTGTTGGATATCCAAAGACAGAGGTAACCTTACTTGCAGACACTGGCTCTAACCAAGGTCGGCTCTGACTTTTCCGGAGCCCAAAATGAATCTTAAATATGGAGCCTTTCACATATATTTAAAAAATAAAGTTTTTATCAAAAGATTATAAATGGAATATTGTTTTAAATTTTTACATTTAATAATGCTCACAAAAAGACAATTAAAATTAACTTAATATATAACAAGGTTTATAATAATAAAAAAGACTAAAATATAAGTTGGAGTAACAAATAAAAAGTAAACTTGGAATGTTTGAGATGATTTAAATAAGTGCACTTTTTGACTTTTTATGAAATATGAATTAGATTTGGATTGGATTTGAAGTGATGTGTTAGAGATGTGATGTGACTTAAATAAGATGATGTGACTTAAATAGGATAGTGACTTTTGACTTTTTTCAAATATGCCAAACCGGCTTTAAGTCTTTTTTTTTTTTTTCATGTCCAAAATTATACTTTCTAGGAATAGTGACGTATTTGATATAGTTTATCAAAAATTATTAACATCATCATAATGCTAACTTAATCCTCAATCATTACAAATCAAATAATCAAGGAAAGGAAACATAAAAAATAATAAAAATATGTAATCGTAATAGACAATATATATATATATAATCAATGATCAAATAAATATTTAATCAAACAAAAATTAGTATTCATCTCTGTAACAGAGTTGTATCTTGAAACCCAACTTTATATTACAAATTTAAGACTTTCTATCATAGTTCAACAAATAAAAATACAGAAAAAAAAAAAAAATTATTCAATACATAAAAAGCTAAGAAATATAATAGTTCTTCAATTAATTTTAAAAATAATTAGATGAATACTTCTAATTGTTGTTGCTGACAGAAACCAACTGATAAAAACTTTGATTTTATTATATGTTTGTAATTATATCTCAAATGTATTTATCTCAAATGTATTTAAAATATAAATTGAGACCTCAAAATATTGGGCCTTTTTATTAAGATTGGATATCTCTTACAAGAAGGTTTAGATCTTTCTAACTCATGTAGGCCTTTTTTTTTTCTGGACCAGTACAATACTTACTATAGTTTTAGGGCCTTTTTTTGGGCATTTTTTGAGGACCCAAAGCAGCTACTTTGTGGTTCTAATTTTGTGTGTTTGAGAAATTACTATTTTAGTAGGTTATTTTAATTTTTAACTATTTGAGTAAGTTAAAATTTTTATATTTGGGAAGATAATTGATTTTTTTTTGTAATTGTATGTAATGTTTGTGAAGGAAAAAGTAAAATAATTATGGATTTAATGTGATATTTTGTCTTATTAACTATTTTAACTTATTTTGTGAATTTTAACCCAAAAAAAGGGCTCAAATCCAAACTTGCCAAACACCCCCTTTGCATGGACTGAGTGTGAACCATGCAAGAATTGCTTCACCCAAAAGACCAAAAGTTATGACTCAAGATTTCCACAACCTATGCAACACTTTCCTATGCGTTGTAGTAGTCCTTCCCTTAGCTATGGCTCAGGTGGCGGTGGTTCAGGGACAACTAAGGGCATTGCCGCCTGGGAAACATTTGGATTGCCACTTAGGAAAGTTACCCACAAACACTTATCCAAGATGATTTTTGGTTGTTCAAATAACAACAAAGGCTTCGCTTTTGATTGCAACAAAGACAACGCGATTTCAGGGTTACTAGGGTTGGCGAAAGGTCAAGGCTCTTTAATAAACCAACTGAATCACACGGTCAATGGACATAGCTACTTAAGGTTTGCACGATGAACGTAGCTACTTAAGGTTTGGTTTTTGTCCAAAGAGGACAAGATGTCAAAACAATCCCATTCATGAATCCAAGATCACCCTTTACAACCTAAATTTGATAGACATTAGTGTCGACAAGTGACGCCTAGGGTTCCCTAGAGGTACCTTCTTTTTAAAAAAATGTTGGTTGCATCATAGACTCGGAGTTCCTGTCAGCGCCAATAAAGGAAAACCTTATGATAAGGTGATTTGTGCATTTGCATATTACTATGCAGGTAAACTTGAAAGAACATATGGTGAAAATAATCAGCTTGATCTTTGGTATAAATACGACGAGACCTTTCAAGAGTATCCAAGCATTACTTTCCATTTTCAAGGGGGTGATTTTGTGGTCGATTCAAGATTCATGTATTTGTCTTTCTATGAAGCAAGGCATGTTTGTGTGGCAATGGTACCTAGCTATAATATAACCATGTTAGGAGCATTGCAGCAATGGGATATGAGAATCGTATATGATATCGATGCAAATTCATTAGAGTTTGGTCGACAGAGTGTTCAAATGACGGTGGATGACGAGATATCTTTCTTCTACAAAGACAATACTAACTACAGAACCGACTACAGAAAATACAAGTGGAGCAGAGTGAGTGAAGAATCCTTTTCAATGTGCTCTATCTTCATTAAGTGCTGCTGCTGACAACGGATCTCATTTCTAATGCTAAGTAAAACACTAACATCTCGTCACACAAATGGAATGATTGTGAGAATATAGTGTATCTATAAGACACAATAATATTCTCACAATGATATGTATGCATTCAAGTTGAGAGAATGCTCTATTCATACGACCAACTACAAGCCCAAGAACTAATTGCCCGCTATGTGATTGCAGAAAATGTTTCAAAAGAGCAAAAACAAATGGTTCCTGTGAGTTTGATATCAACAAACCTACAGCAAAAGGTCAAGCCGACTTAAATGGCATAAAGGTGAACCAGACTTGGTTAAAGATTTTTAAAGAGAATGATATACACGATCTACATCCGGTCCCTTACACACAAGTGCTACGTTGGTTCCAGTTTTTCAGCTGTCCTGGATCAAGTTTGTAGGCTCACTCAAAACATATTTTGGTATTTCATATTTTGCACCTGTAACAAGAATTTTTAGGTTAGGGATACAAAACTTTTTGAGTACAAGATGCCACAAGTTTAGCCCAAAAGCATCGTAATGTTCCCTATTTATTATTGAAGTCTTGAATCTAGGGTAAACTGAGTGAATATTTAACAAAAATAAAGAAAAATAAGAAGTTACATGGAAAATGATTTGAGTACCTCTTTCATCATAGCATACTGTCAAATCGGCACTTTGAACAATGATCCCTGCACTGTCCACAATTGCTTGCGCGAGTGTTAGATCAGCATCAACAGCGGCATGAAGTGCATCCCAAATTTCTAGTGTCAAGAAAAATGGTAATTATACATCAGATGTGTGCGACCAAATGTAATATTGGGAATAGAAAATACATCAATCTATATTCTGCTTATCTTGTGCTTGCATGGTGTGTATTGCATGGAAAACGGATTTTTTCCTTAAGGTCAATAAGACAACAAGGGGACTTAAACCCTATCAGAGATGAAATAAACCGGATAAAAACCCAACAATGAAGAAATGTTGGAAATCTACAATACTTAAAAGAGTACTGTTGAGGAGAATATTTTTTTTTTGGAAATACAGAGTGTACTGTTGCTGAGACTCGGAAAGAAGATAGTATAGTGGATGTTAGCTGCTATTATAATCAGACTGTCCAAAAGACACACCTGCATTGCTCTACTGTGCATAAATTAATAAAAAGAATGAAACAGCCGTATTCAAAGAATTAAAATGCCTTTTAAAGAAAAAAGGTATTTTCAAGTGAAGTATCACACTGCTTTAAGGGAGAAAGAAGCACAAAATCATCTTCACATTACACAAAAATCTGGAAATTCAGAGTATATATATTTGACAAGGGTAGATCAGGAGTTACAACCTAATCCTACCAAAATAAACGCTCTTTTTTTTTCTTTTTTTGTGGCATAAGTAAACTTGTAGTCTATGCATATATCTTCAAAATTGTGCCGATAGGAGCACAACCTCTGTACAATGGGACCATATAAATATAAATGATAAATGTTAAGAGAAAGCCCTATTTAATTGCGTGGATTAAACTTAAAAACACATGCAGCAAAGCCTGCTCAAGCCCACCCTAAACTCTAGATCACCAATGTAATAAAAGCAATACAAAATCATTTTCTGTGGTTTTGTTAGTTCAAATTCTTGTAAATCATTTAATACTCTTCCCATCTTAGCCTCTGCAATGCTGAAAACATCAGAAATGAGGTGATGATTGGGCTCCACAAGAAACAGTATGCAAAATCTGAAATATTATATATGTGTGTGTGTGTGTGTAAAGATCCTTCCTAAATATAGACATGACATGTTGGAGTTTTTTCTGCACTGCTACCGTAGTTTTTTGTCTGAAGAAAGGCTTCCACATGAATCTTGGCATGAACTTTACTTATCTATATTTTCTAGATAAGGCAACAAATATTGTTCTAGTGTTCTACAAGAACCCACTAACAATGGAAGTCATTTACATTTAATATTACCTTTCCTGCCACCATAGTGAGGAGCAGTGTCCCAGAACTCCTCTCGCATCTTCATAAGTTGACTCTTTGTTATTTCCGAAGAATGCTTCCAAGGTTTTGGCTTTCGGATCTTCTTCATAGTCCCTGTGATAATCATTGTCCCAACCATTGCATTAGTACATTAATGCCAGCTGTAAATCATACAATAGACGGAAGTAATTGAGAGACTGCAGACATTTAGCAGTCTCAAGGCAAACTCTGTTGACCTATGAATTTGAAGCATAAGTCCTAGACATTACATGCATGGTAGTCATACATAGTGTCAAGACAGATGATGAACAAAATTTACGGGAAAGGAAATCTGATGCTCGCTCTCCCTTGCAATCTCGGATCTTAATTTTTATCAAGTTCTTCAATATAGATGGCTAAGAGAGTGTGATATCAATTATAAAAAAAAAAAATTTAAAAATGCCTTGGTTTAGAAGAGAGAAAAAATCATAAAAAAAAATCAAATTTTTTTATTCTTAGAAATGTGTACAACTAAAACAATTTTGAACCAAAGGCTTCACATTGTAGTCAATAATTCAATAACCAGGACAGAGTTAGCAAGTGAAAACTAACAGACTTTACGGTGATGTAGATTTATTAAATCTAACATAAGTAGAATAGAGGCTCTTTCAGATGGAATGAAATCATTTAATAATCATTTAAAAAGGGTATGGGGTTTGGCCAAATAAGACCTACTAGATGACGGATTCTCAGCAATTTTTGGTTCCTTTCCCTCTCTTCTTCTTCTTCTTCTTCTTCTTTTTTTTTTTTTTTTTCAAGTAAATTTGATATAAAACGATGAAGAAATTAAAATAAAAAATCCAATCACATAACCTAGAAGAAGGATCACCTCAGTGGCATACCCTAGTAATTAAATCAGTAACTTTGCAATATAGCAAAACTCAACCTCTTTATCACTTGACAAGAAAATCCCCAATTTGGACACAACTCTCTAACTTAATCTTCACAGAGGATACCATAAAACATCTAAGGGGATCACAAGTTCTCAAGTTACAGACTTACGTTCAATCCCTCAAAATAGTCTGGAAGCACAAATTCACCCAATCCATTGACTGACCCAAACATCATTTGAGATACATTTGACAGTACAAACTAGTGCAAAATCTTGACATCGTCCAAGCTAGAAATAATTAGCCAAGGGTCTGGACTGTCTCCAGTTGGAATTCTCCAGTCCGGTCCAGCACGTCAAAGTACACTTGATTAAACCACAGTGTGCTACAATTCTTTAAGGGAGAAAGCACCACAAAATCATCTTCACATTACACAAAAATCTGGAAATTCAGAGTATATATATTTGACAAGGGTAGATCAGGAGTTACAACCTAATCCTACCAAAATAAACGCTCTTTTTTTTTCTTTTTTTGTGGCATAAGTAAACTTGTAGTCTATGCATATATCTTCAAAATTGTGCCGATAGGAGCACAACCTCTGTACAATGGGACCATATAAATATAAATGATAAATGTTAAGAGAAAGCCCTATTTAATTGCGTGGATTAAACTTAAAAACACATGCAGCAAAGCCTGCTCAAGCCCACCCTAAACTCTAGATCACCAATGTAATAAAAGCAATACAAAATCATTTTCTGTGGTTTTGTTAGTTCAAATTCTTGTAAATCATTTAATACTCTTCCCATCTTAGCCTCTGCAATGCTGAAAACATCAGAAATGAGGTGATGATTGGGCTCCACAAGAAACAGTATGCAAAATCTGAAATATTATATATGTGTGTGTGTGTGTGTAAAGATCCTTCCTAAATATAGACATGACATGTTGGAGTTTTTTCTGCACTGCTACCGTAGTTTTTTGTCTGAAGAAAGGCTTCCACATGAATCTTGGCATGAACTTTACTTATCTATATTTTCTAGATAAGGCAACAAATATTGTTCTAGTGTTCTACAAGAACCCACTAACAATGGAAGTCATTTACATTTAATATTACCTTTCCTGCCACCATAGTGAGGAGCAGTGTCCCAGAACTCCTCTCGCATCTTCATAAGTTGACTCTTTGTTATTTCCGAAGAATGCTTCCAAGGTTTTGGCTTTCGGATCTTCTTCATAGTCCCTGTGATAATCATTGTCCCAACCATTGCATTAGTACATTAATGCCAGCTGTAAATCATACAATAGACGGAAGTAATTGAGAGACTGCAGACATTTAGCAGTCTCAAGGCAAACTCTGTTGACCTATGAATTTGAAGCATAAGTCCTAGACATTACATGCATGGTAGTCATACATAGTGTCAAGACAGATGATGAACAAAATTTACGGGAAAGGAAATCTGATGCTCGCTCTCCCTTGCAATCTCGGATCTTAATTTTTATCAAGTTCTTCAATATAGATGGCTAAGAGAGTGTGATATCAATTATAAAAAAAAAAAATTTAAAAATGCCTTGGTTTAGAAGAGAGAAAAAATCATAAAAAAAAATCAAATTTTTTTATTCTTAGAAATGTGTACAACTAAAACAATTTTGAACCAAAGGCTTCACATTGTAGTCAATAATTCAATAACCAGGACAGAGTTAGCAAGTGAAAACTAACAGACTTTATGGTGATGTAGATTTATTAAAACTAACATAAGTAGAATAGAAGCTCTTTCAGATGGAATGAAATCATTTAATAATCATTTAAAAAGGGTATGGGGTTTGGCCAAATAAGACCTACTAGATGACGGATTCTCAGCAATTTTTGGTTCCTTTCCCTCTCTTCTTCTTCTTCTTCTTCTTCTTTTTTTTTTTTTTTTTCAAGTAAATTTGATATAAAACGATGAAGAAATTAAAATAAAAAATCCAATCACATAACCTAGAAGAAGGATCACCTCAGTGGCATACCCTAGTAATTAAATCAGTAACTTTGCAATATAGCAAAACTCAACCTCTTTATCACTTGACAAGAAAATCCCCAATTTGGACACAACTCTCTAACTTAATCTTCACAGAGGATACCATAAAACATCTAAGGGGATCACAAGTTCTCAAGTTACAGACTTACGTTCAATCCCTCAAAATAGTCTGGAAGCACAAATTCACCCAATCCATTGACTGACCCAAACATCATTTGAGATACATTTGACAGTACAAACTAGTGCAAAATCTTGACATCGTCCAAGCTAGAAATAATTAGCCAAGGGTCTGGACTGTCTCCAGTTGGAATTCTCCAGTCCGGTCCAGCACGTCAAAGTACACTTGATTAAACCACAGTGTGCTACAATTCTTTAAGGGAGAAAGCACCACAAAATCATCTTCACATTACACAAAAATCTGGAAATTCAGAGTATATATATTTGACAAGGGTAGATCAGGAGTTACAACCTAATCCTACCAAAATAAACGCTCTTTTTTTTTCTTTTTTTGTGGCATAAGTAAACTTGTAGTCTATGCATATATCTTCAAAATTGTGCCGATAGGAGCACAACCTCTGTACAATGGGACCATATAAATATAAATGATAAATGTTAAGAGAAAGCCCTATTTAATTGCGTGGATTAAACTTAAAAACACATGCAGCAAAGCCTGCTCAAGCCCACCCTAAACTCTAGATCACCAATGTAATAAAAGCAATACAAAATCATTTTCTGTGGTTTTGTTAGTTCAAATTCTTGTAAATCATTTAATACTCTTCCCATCTTAGCCTCTGCAATGCTGAAAACATCAGAAATGAGGTGATGATTGGGCTCCACAAGAAACAGTATGCAAAATCTGAAATATTATATATGTGTGTGTGTGTGTGTAAAGATCCTTCCTAAATATAGACATGACATGTTGGAGTTTTTTCTGCACTGCTACCGTAGTTTTTTGTCTGAAGAAAGGCTTCCACATGAATCTTGGCATGAACTTTACTTATCTATATTTTCTAGATAAGGCAACAAATATTGTTCTAGTGTTCTACAAGAACCCACTAACAATGGAAGTCATTTACATTTAATATTACCTTTCCTGCCACCATAGTGAGGAGCAGTGTCCCAGAACTCCTCTCGCATCTTCATAAGTTGACTCTTTGTTATTTCCGAAGAATGCTTCCAAGGTTTTGGCTTTCGGATCTTCTTCATAGTCCCTGTGATAATCATTGTCCCAACCATTGCATTAGTACATTAATGCCAGCTGTAAATCATACAATAGACGGAAGTAATTGAGAGACTGCAGACATTTAGCAGTCTCAAGGCAAACTCTGTTGACCTATGAATTTGAAGCATAAGTCCTAGACATTACATGCATGGTAGTCATACATAGTGTCAAGACAGATGATGAACAAAATTTACGGGAAAGGAAATCTGATGCTCGCTCTCCCTTGCAATCTCGGATCTTAATTTTTATCAAGTTCTTCAATATAGATGGCTAAGAGAGTGTGATATCAATTATAAAAAAAAAAAATTTAAAAATGCCTTGGTTTAGAAGAGAGAAAAAATCATAAAAAAAAATCAAATTTTTTTATTCTTAGAAATGTGTACAACTAAAACAATTTTGAACCAAAGGCTTCACATTGTAGTCAATAATTCAATAACCAGGACAGAGTTAGCAAGTGAAAACTAACAGACTTTATGGTGATGTAGATTTATTAAAACTAACATAAGTAGAATAGAAGCTCTTTCAGATGGAATGAAATCATTTAATAATCATTTAAAAAGGGTATGGGGTTTGGCCAAATAAGACCTACTAGATGACGGATTCTCAGCAATTTTTGGTTCCTTTCCCTCTCTTCTTCTTCTTCTTCTTCTTCTTTTTTTTTTTTTTTTTAAGCTTGCCAATTTTCATGGTCCTGTTTGGTTGTTGGAAATGTTATGTAGAAAAGTGGCTTCGAGAAGAATAGAAAACATAATGCTAGTAGGCTTTAAATGTAAGAAATGGAACTGTTTGGTTTTAAAGCTTAAAGTTTTTTTTTTAGGAAAATGAGTGACCCCTTTTTGGAGGACCCACAACTCCCATAGTGATCCACACAATTCATGATATCCATACACAATTCATGATATGTGAAACCCACTTATGTACATGTGAAGTCCACATCATAAATGGTGTGGATCACTACTAGAGTTGTGAGAATCTTTCAAAAAAAGAGTCTCTATCCTTACTCTTTTTTTTAATAATTTTTTTTTCATGTTTCAATCAAATTTTTATACTTTTTAAATTTATTTAATCTTGATGTACATTAAAAAAAAATTAAAAACTTTTAAAGTAATTTTAAAGAAATTCCCAAAATACAAAAAAAAATATATATATATATACATTTCGTATTTTGTAATTTTGTTACAAATATTTTACTTTTTGAGTATATTTAGATTAAGTACATTAAAAAATATAAAAA